AGCAGCAGCAGCGAAATGGACCTGGAATTAAATCAAGCGCAGCATTGCTGATGTTTAAAAACGCCGATGTCGTTGAGTACTTCTGGATACGCACAATTGATGCTGCAGCAGCAGCAGCATCAGCAGCAACAGCAGCAGCAGGTGTGAAGCAGCAGCAGCAGCAGCGGGGCATGTAGAGAAGCTGCGGCAGCTTCTACCAGCTAACGCAGCAGCAGCAGCATCAGAAACAGCAGCAGCAGCAGCAGCAGCAGCAGACCTGCAACAGTGGCAACAACGTAGACGAAGACAGCAGCAAAAAGGCCAAGAGTGATAATTGAGTGGACAAGACTTGTGGGGGGTTTGTGCATGGGCACCCCACTTTCCTCAGTTGCTGCAGCAAACAAATAATAATAAATAAATAAACAAATAAATAAATAAATAAATAAATAAATAAATAAATGATGAGAAGAAAACAAATTAATTACTAATTAGAGAAATGGAGAAAAAAGCGGAAACTTAGCGAACAAATGAAGGAAAATGGAGTGTAGCAAGGTATTTTGCTAAACGCTGATTTAGGGTTTAGCAGCAAGCAAGTCCTCCTGGCGAGTTAACCCTAAGTTAGTGTTTTGCAGCTGGGGGGTTTGTGCATGGGCACCCCACTTTCCTCAGTTGCTGCAGCAAACAAATAATAATAAATAAATAAATAAATAAATAAATAAATAAATAAATAAATAAATAAATAATAAATAAATGAATAATAAATAAATAAATAATGAGAAGAAAACAAATTAGTTATTTATTAGAGAAATGGAAAAAAAAGCGGAAAAGTAGCGAACAAATGAAGGAAAATGGAGTGTAGCTAGGCATTTTCCTAAACGCTGATTTAGGGTTTAGCAGCAAGTCCTCCTGGCGAGTTAACCCTAATTTAGTGTTTTGCAGCGAAGAAGTCCATGAAGTACGGTTAGGGTTTTGCGGTAAGCAATTGGCTCGAACAGGTAAACCCTAAGTTAGGGTTTACCAGCAAAGAGGCTTACTGAGGAACCCTAATTTAGGGTTTAGCAGGAAAGAAAACATTTAAGGAACTAAATTTACGGTGTAGCAGCAAATGTAACCCCCAAAGGGCTAAACGCTGATTTAGGGTTTAGCAGCAACTAAATCCCTGAAGAGCTAAACCCTAATTACGGGTTTAGCAACAGAAGAAGACCCTTGCGTACGGGCACCGGGGATCGAACCCGGGATCTTCTGCGTGTTAGGCAGACGTCATAGCCACTAGACCATGCCCGCGGAGTACCGAACTTCAAATTAAATTTCAGAAAAGAAAAAGCGTTAAAATTAAAATAAAATTAATTCAAATGAAATAATATGACAATTAGGGTACCAACAAAACAAGCAAAAGAAGATCCAAAAGACTAGCTAGCTTTCTTGGGGGCCCCCGCTGCTCCCTGGGGGCCCCCAAGGGCCCCTAAAGGGGCCCCCCAGGGGCCCCTCGCGGGCCCCTGCGGCCTCTTGGGGGGCCTCCTGGGGGACCCCGGGGGCCCCAGGGGGCCCCCTTGGCAGCTGCTGCTGCTGCACTTCGTGTTGCGTACTCATTTTGCTGGAGAGGAGGTGGCGCTGCATTTTGACTCTTTTGTGGCCTCGAGAGTTGAAATTTGTTTTAAAAGTTTCCTTTTTAACTTAAAATAGTATTTCATTATTTAAATTAATTTATTTCCGAAAATGGCAAACATTTTAACCCCCAAGGAACCCCCCAGCCCCAGCGGCCGCTGCCACAGCCAGACAAGTGACCTCTGGAAATGCTGCAGCAAAGGAGTGAAAAGCTCCCATTTTACTTAATCTTTTTGAATTATTTCATTTAATTCTAATTTATTATTCAATTTTAATTTAGTTTCGCAGTTTCAAACAGTTTTTCCGCACAAATCCGACATTTAGCGGATTAGCAGCAACAACCGGCGCTTACAACTCAAACCCGAAGTCCTGGATCGATAAACCCTAAACCCTAAACCCCAAACCCTAAACCCTAAGTCCTGAACCCTAAAAGCTAAACCTTCGAACACGTGCCGTTGCAGATCGAAGAAGTGATTCCTGCGCCCAGCCGAGCTTCGGGCTGGCTAGCTATGGCTAGCTGCCTGCTGCTGTGTGCAGCTAGCTGCAGCGGGAGAGTTAACTGCAGTCAGCTAGCCAAGACTGGCTAGTTGTGGCTAGCTAGCTGTGGGGGGCTACTTAAGGGCGGCTTATCATGGCTAGCTAGCTGCATGCAGCTAGCTGTTGCTGCCTGCATGTGTGGCTAGCTAGCTAGGCCAGTTGGCCGTGGCTAGCCAGCTAAAGCCCGCAAGCCATGGCTAGCAGGGCTCAGCTAGCTCTGACTAGCTAGCCACAGCTAGCTGTGCGTGGCTAGCTAGCTACGGCCAGCCATACGTGGCTAGCTAGCTAAGCGCTGCTAGCCGTCGCTAGCTAGCTGCGGCTAACTGTATGTGGCTGACTAGCCACATGCAGCTAGCTAGCTAGCTAGCTAGCCAGCTAGCTAGCTAGCTGCCAATTTTGCCCAAATGAAAACAAAGAGAAAGGCGAAAATCCAGATAATGTCTTTATTTCTATTTAAAAATAAAATTAATTTGAATTAAATAGTTCATTTTAAATTACTTTTTCTTAAAACTCATTTCTGCAAAATTAGCTGCCAAATGCATGAAGGGCTTTCTTAAAAGCAAAAAAACAGAAAAAGGGTTTTGTGTTTCCTTGCTGCAGCAGCAAACAAAAAATAAATCCATTGAGCATTTTAATTAAATGCTGCAGACAATGCATGCACTGCTGCTGCTGCTGCTGCTGCTGCTGCTGCTGCAAGGATGCAGCAGCAGGAAGTGGTGCTGCGTTCTTGCTGCAGCAGGACGCCCTGCTGCTGCTGTTCTTACCGCTGCTGCTGCTGAGGTGCAGCAGCAGCTGCTGCTGCTTTGGCGGTGGTGCTGCTGCTGCTCGTGCTGCTCTTGCTGCTGCTACTGCTGCTGCTAAGCTGCAGCAGCAGCAGTTGTTGCTGCGTTTTCTGCAGCTCCAGAAGCAGCAGTTGGCGACGCTCCTGCTGTTGCACTTGCCGTTGCTGCTGCTGCAGCTGCTGTTGCCGCCGCTGCTGCTGCTGCTGCCGCTGCTGCTGCTGCTGCTGCTGTTTTAGAATCCTTTAGAATCCAGATTCGACTTTCAGGGCTGTAGTGTAGCCTTCTAAGTTCTCGCGCAGGACTGATAAGAAAAAAGACAAACCCTAAACCCTAAACCCTAAACCCTAAACCCTAGGCCTTGTTCGTGTCTTCTGAAATGTCAAGGCCTGCTATGAGCTAAGCCCCACACTTTCACACAAAGCCCTAAACCCCAAACCCTGAACCCCAAATGCTTAAACCCTAAACCCTAAACCCTAAACCCTAAGATGGTTTGGACCAGGACCAAGCCCGTGGGGGTTTAGGGTTTAGAGAGCAGCGGAAGGCTGTTTAAGCATTGTGAGGGTTTAGGGTTTAGGGTTTAGAGGCAGCGTAGGGTTTAGGGTTAAGGGTTTACATTTGAGTTCTTCTAGTGTGGTTTGCTCTAAAGGGTTTAGAAAAGCCTCGTTGAAAAACCGTAAAAAAGGGTTTAGAGAAGTCCTTTCTTTTGGCGGCAAAGAGCGGCGGGAAGGATCATCAAATTCTTTTCTCAAAAAACCTAAAAGAAATAAAAATGAAAATAAATAATAAATAAATAAATAAATAAATGAATAAGCAAATAAATAAAGAAATAAATAATAAATAAAATAAAATAAAAAATAAATAAATACGTGGGGCGGGCGGGGGATTAGGGCTTGCGAGGGTTTAGGGTTTGTCAGGGTTTTGGGTTTACTGCTAGGGTTTAGAGTTTGTCAGATTTTAGGGTCTACGGCTAGGGTTTACGGCTTTTGGGGGTTTAGGGTTTAGCGCATGAATGGGGGTTTTGGGCGTACTAGGGCTTTGTGTTTATTACGGTCGAGAGTTTGTGAGGGTTTAGGGTTTTTGAGGGTTTAGGGTTTACGAGGGTTCAGGGTTTACGAGGGTTTAGGGTTTATGAGGGTTTAGGGTTTATGATGGTTTAGGGTTTATGAGGGTTTAGGGTTTACTGAGCGTTGGAACCCGCTCAGGGTCAAAATCGTCCAACTCGGCCAAATCAATCGGCACACAAACACGCCCTGCAGCAGCAGCAGCAGCAGCAGCAGCAACAGCAGCAGCAGCAACAGCAGCAGCAGCAACAGCAGCAAGTGCAGCAGAAGCAGCAGCTCATGCTGCTGAGTCCAAAATATACCCCCATGAGGCTCGGGAAAAGAGCAGCTCGAAATGCTAAACCCTAAACCCTTAGCCTTAAGCCCCAAACCCTAAACCCTAAACCCTAAACCCTAAACCCTTGTAAAGGTCACCTGTGGCGTGATGTATGCAGAAAGGAGCCTTGAGAAGATGCCCCATGTCCTTACTGCAGTCTCATAAAAGCAGAAGGCCTTAAACCCTAAACTCTAAACCCTACACCCTAAACCCTAAACCCTTAATCCTAACTCTGTAGCCCTGAACTCCGAGCCTGCGTGCGCAGCGCGCATTCTCTTTGCGTGGCTAGGGTTTAGGGTTTAGGGTTTCGGCGTGTGCCCCTCAAGCGAGTGCTGAAGCCTTAGGGTTTAGGGTTTAGGGTTTAGGGTTTAGGGTTTGCAGCGTGTGCACTGACCTGACATTGACATCAAGCCTCGGGTAAGAAAACGCCAGCACAATTTCTTTTATAAAGTTGGGGAAGGCATCGGCTTCCTTTGCTGCTGCTGCTGGTGCTACTGCTCCCCCAGCAGCAGCAGCAGCAGCAGCAGCAGCAGCAGCAGGTGTTTGGCAGTTGGCAAGTTTGCACAACCGCTCAAAGAGTTTTGTGCTTTTTGTCTTCTTGGGGTCTTCGGGTTCAGCTTTAATTTCTTCAATCCAAGCAGCAACTTGCTGCTGCATATCTGCTGCTGCTGCTGCTGCTGCTGCTGTTGCTGTTGCTACCCCTCGCGACTTTGCTGCAGTGCTGTAGCCGCGAGAAGCGCCGCCGTACCCACCGCCGTACCCGCTGCCGTACCCGCTGCTGCTGCTGCTGCTGCTGCTGCTGCTGCTGCTGCTGCTGCTGCTATTAGGGAGATACTCAAGCAGGCTTTCTGCCATTTTGCTGCTGCCCCCCCCAAAGAAGAAATCCTGCTCCTGCAGCAGCTGCTGAAAGTCTCTGTAGGCAATGCGAAATGCGCGGCTGCAGCAAAAAGCACAACAAACCCTAAACCCTAAACCCTAAACTTTAAACCCTAAGAAGAAGCAGCAGCAGCAGCAGCAGCGAGCATAAACTCACTCGATAGCAGGGTGTTGTGTTTTCCCCCAAAGGTTTATCTTCTTCGCTTGCTGGTCACTGCCCTGAACACCAAACCCTAAACCCTAAACCCTAAACCCTAATTCTTTCGAGCCTGAAGCAGCAAATGCTGTAGGGATCGAGGGTTAAGGGGATTAACACTCAGCTGAAAGAACTTTTACTGCACAGCTTCGGGGCTAGGGTTTAGGGTTTAGGGATAGGGTATAGGGATAGAGTTTGCGGTTTAGGGATAGGGTTTAGGGTTTAGACCTAGGGCTTACACTAAGGAGGTTTAGGTACTCTACAAGTTGGCCGCGGCTCTCATTTGGCAGCAAACGCGCATCAGTATCGCACACCTGAAAACAGCAGCAGCAGCAGCAGCAGCAGCAGCAGCAAGAACAGCAGCAGCAGCAGGAAGAGCAGCAAAAACAACAGGCGTAGGTCCTTTTGCCTCCGTAGGCGCAAAGAAATGGGAGCAGCAGCAGCAGCAGCAGCAAGAACAACAAAAGCAGCTGGAAGAGCAATCTTAGCAACAGCAGCAGTAGCAACAACAGCAGCCACAGCAGCAGCAGCAGCAGCAGCAGCCACAGCAGCAGCAGCAGCCACAGCAGCAGAAGCAACAGCAGCCACAGCAGCAGCAGCAGCCACAGCAGCAGAAGCAACAGCAGCCACAGCAGCAGCAGCAGCCACAGCAGTAGCACCAGCAGCAGCACCAACAACAGCCACAGCAAGCACAGCAGCAGCAGCGCAGCCACGGCAGCAGCAGCAGGCACATCAAGCCCAGCAGCAGCAGCCACATCTATCCCAGCAGCAGCAGCAGCAGCAGCAGCAGCTACCCAAGCGTGAATGCCTCTTCTTCCGGAGTAGACCCAAAGGATTTCCTTAAATCCAAAATCTTCCCTCAGCGCCGCCTCCAGCAAACGCACGGCCACCGCCAAGAAACGCCTGCGCAAACCCTAAACCCTAAACCCTAAACCCTAAACCCTAAACCCTGGCTCCTCACCCCTACCTCCCAACCCCAACCCCAACCCCAACCCCCAAACCCCAAAGCCCACCTCCCGCTGCTCAGCAGCACCCATCCCAAAACCCAAAGCCTAAACCCCAAACCCTAAACCCTAAACCCTAAACCCTAAACCCTAGGGGGTGGCTGACCAGCACTTGCTGCAGAGGGTTTTGCGGGCGCAGCAGGTGCGGACTTGGTCGTAGTCGTTCATGTCGATGTCGAAGACAATTTCTTTTTGGAGGGTTTTGAAAAAAAGGGTTTTGGAAAAAAGGGTTTTGGAAAAAAGGGTTTTGGAGTCTTTGTGCAGCAGCGGGAGTGTATAGACAGCTCCGATGTCCACTTTCAAGCAGCAAACCCCACACAGCCCCAGCAGCCGCTCCCGCAAACCCCACAAACTCGGAAAACCCTGCAGCAGCAGCAGCAGCAGCAGCAGCAGCAGCAGAGGCAGCAGCAGCGGCAGCAGCAGCAGGAGCAGTAGTCGTAGTGGACAAGGTGGCAGCAGCAGCAGCAGCAGCAGTAGTGGACAAAGTGGTAGCAGCAGCAGCAGCAGCAGCAGTGAAGGAGGCAGCAGCAGCACCAGCAATGAAGGCGGCGGCGGCAGCAGCAGCAGCAGCAGCAGAAAAAGAAATAAAATAAGAAGAAATAATCAGGGAAAAAGGGAGACAAGCGAGGGCCTAAAAACGGCAAAAGGAGAAACTTTTCCAAAAATTAGGGTTTAGGGTTTAGGGTTTAGGGACAGGAGGGGGTCCGAAAATTGCAAAGGGCGCAACTTTTCAAGAAATTAGGGTTTAGGGTTCAGGATCTAGGGTTTAGGGACAAGCAAGGGTCTACGGAAGCCAGAAAACGGAACCTCTCAAGAAATTAGGGTTTAGGGTTTAGGGTTTCGGGAAAAGCGGAAGTCAAAAGAAGGCGAAAAAACGCAACTTTCCAAGAAATTAAATTTTAGGGTTTAGGGTTTAGAGTTTAAGGTTTATGGTTTAGGGACAAGCCGGAGTCAAAAGAAGCCGAAAACACGCAGTCTATTAGGAAACAAGGGTTTAGGGTTTAGGGACAAGAGGGGGTCAAAAAGACGCCAAAAAGCGCAGTTTTTTGGAAATTAGGGTTTAGGGTTTAGGGGTGGTCGTGCCTGCCAGCAAATGAAGAATTCTTCCTGCGAATTGTCTGCTTTTTTACAGGTGAGAGAAAACTCTCTTTTGGAAATTAGGGTTTAGGGTTTAGGGTTTAGGGACAAGAGGGGGTCAAAAAGACGCCAAAAAGCGCAGTTTTTTGGAAATTAGGGTTTAGGGTTTAGGGGTGGTCGTGCCTGCCAGCAAATGAAGAATTCTTCCTGCGAATTGTCTGCTTTTTTACAGGTGAGAGAAAACTCTCTTTTGGAAATTAGGGTTTAGGGTTTAGGGTTTAGGGACAAGAGGGGGTCAAAAAGACGCCAAAAAGCGCAGTTTTTTGGAAATTAGGGTTTAGGGTTTAGGGGTGGTCGTGCCTGCCAGCAAATGAAGAATTCTTCCTGCGAATTGTCTGCTTTTTTACAGGTGAGAGAAAACTCTCTTTTGGAAATTAGGGTTTAGGGTTTAGGGTTTAGGGACAAGAGGGGGTCAAAAAGACGCCAAAAACGCAGTTTTTTGAAAATTAGGGTTTAGGGTTTAGGTTTCAGGGTTTAGGGTTTAGGGGTGGTCGTGCCTGCCAGCGAATGAAGAATTCCTCCTGCGAATTGTCTTCTTTTTTACAAGTGAGAGAAAACTCTCTTTTGGAAATGAACTGGGGGTCGTTGAGAGGTGTATGTACACCTGAGGGGCTGTTGCGGTAGGAGAGCCACCGCTGCAGCTCGCCGAACGGAAACAGATTCTCTGCGACAAACCCTAAACCCTAAACCCTAAACCCTAAACCCTAAACCCTACCCACGGACCCTGCGCCCCCAAGCCCTGCAGCCGCGCGGGGGGCAGAAGCAGCAGCGAGGAAAGCGGCTGGCTGCGGACGCAGCTGTGCTGCTAAACCCTAAACCCTAACCCTAAACCCTAAACCCTAAACTCTAAACCCTAAACCCTAAACCCTAAACCCTTGCTCACCATAGTAGAACCGAAGGCCAGCCGCCGTCACTTCCGTGTCATCTGGAATTCGATGCTTCAGCAGCAAACCCATTTTCGAGGGTTTAGGGTTTGCGGAAAGAAGAAAATGCAAGACGTCGAATCAGGGTTTAGGGTTTACGTCGTAGGGTTTAGTGTGTAGGGTTTAGGTGAATATATGCCTGAGAGGCTCGCTAATAAGTATAACAGCTCCTTCTCAGCTTTTGGATTTTCCCAGAGTTAAAAGCCACCAGTCTAGGGTTTAGGGTTTAGGGTTTAGGGTTTAGGGTTTAGGGTTTGAGGTGCCGCTGCCGCCGCGCGCGAGCAAACGGACCTCCAAGGGCATTTTTGAGTTTGTTTTTTTCTGTGTAACTAATTATAAATAAAAAATAAAATAAATATTTCATTTTAAAAACGAAAAAGAAGGAAAAGAAGAAAAAAAGAAGCCGTGGGGCCCGAAACCCTCTCTGAGGGGTGGGGTTGTTGTTGCTGTGCTTCTGTTTTCCGTTTTTTGTGCATTTTATTTCAAATTAAAAAGTAAATTGGTTTATTAAATTGAAATTAATTAATATTTGAATTTAAAATAACTAAAAATCAAAATAAAAACGCAAAAAATGTTTGTTTCTTCCTCTGCGAGCTGCATGCAGACGCTGCCTTCCGCATGTGTGTTCGAAACAGATAAATGAGAAGATGAGACAATTAAAGAATAAATAAATATATTACGTTACATTTATTTGAATTTTATTCTTCATTTGGGGGTGTTAGAGCTCCTTAGACGATTGTCTTGCTGCAGCAGCCCCGAATTAGGGTTTTCGGCTAGGGTTTAGGGTTTAGCTGCTGCACACAGCTAGGGTTTAGGGTTTTGCTGCTTCTTCCGCGGGCATGGTCTAGTGGCTATGACGTCTGCCTAACACGCAGAAGATCCCGGGTTCGATCCCCGGTGCCCGTACTTGCCTTGCTGCTAAACCCTTAACTAGGGTTTAGCACGGCGCCGCCAAACCCTGTTTTGGGGGTTAGAGTCAAGCTATTCTGCATTCCCCTCCATGCTCAGCGCTACGCAAACTCGAAGGCAGCAAACTCCACCTTTAACCCTAAACCCTAAACCCTAAACCCTAAATCCTAAATCCTAAAAATCTTTTTATCACTAAGCCGCCTTAGTTGCGGTGTTGTTACACGCAAAAGTGAGGGCTGCCCTCTGCTGCAGTTGCTGCTGCAGCTGAAGTTGCTGCTGCAACTGCTGCTGGAGCTTCAGTTGTCGCTGCAGCAGCAGCAGCAGCTGCTGCTGCTGCTGCTGCACTTGCGCTGATGCTGCTGCTGCTGCTGCACTTGCGCTGCTGCTGCATTTGTTGCTTTTGCTGCTGCTGCTTGAGCCCTTAGACAAAGCTGCTTTTGGGGTGTACGTACACCCCAACACAGACAAAGAGAGCTCCCCAGGAAGCAGCAGCAGCAACGTCCCAGCCTAGACCCTAAACCCTAGACCCTAAACCCTAAACCCTAGTTTTTGACGATGGTGAGGGTTAGAGGCGCCGCTGCGACGGTGTATGTTTCTTCGTAAAGAATGTTTGCTGCTTCTATTTTCTTATTTGCTTCCTGCAGCAGCAAAGGTCTCCTTAAGCAGCTTTCAATATATTCTTTTTCTTGAATTAAAATATCTTTAAGTGCTGCATCATCAGCAGCAGCAAACACCAGTACTTCGTCTTGCTGCTGCAGCTGCAGCTGCGAAAAAGCCGCACGCACAGCCCCCAAACAAAACCCTAAACCCTAAACCCTAAACTCTAGACGCTGCGGCACTACAGAGACCCCGCTAGTGTTTAGGGTTTAGGGTTTAGGGTTTACTTACCTGCTTCCGCAACTTCTGCACACGATTGGCGATCTGCGAAGAAACGAAAGCAATTAACAAACAGCTATTAAGCAGCAGCAGCAGCGATTGCAGCAGCAGCAGCAGCTAGAGCAGCAGCAGCAACTTCAGAAGCAGCAGCACAAATCCCACAAGCAGAGGCAACACCAAATGCAAGGCCTCAGCAACTGGAGCAACAGCCACTGACCGTAGCAGCAGCAGCAGCAGCAACTGCAGCAGCAGCAACTGCAGCAGCAGCAAGGCAGCTCACTTCTCTAGCTATTGCCTTCCGCTGCAGCGATGGGTCTTCAGTAAAGTCCATTGCGATAACACAATTCCTGCGCAGAAACAAAACCCTAAACCCTAAACCCTAAACCCTCGAGACGGGACATTCCATACCCTAGACTGAAAGAACAAAAGGGCAACTAATAAACAATTAAATATTAAAAATAAATTAATTAAAAAGCAGACAAATAAATAAATAAATAAATAATACATAAATGATAAAGATCAATTAAATAAAACACAAACAGATTAAGCAAAAAGCAAAAAACAAATGACAAATAACTAAAAGTGAAAATGGAGAATGGAGAAAAAGTGAATAATGGAAATAAAAAAGAAAAAGTTGAAGACGCACTTGTCGCAGTTAAACCCTAAATTAGGGTTTGTGCTTTGAGGCAGTTGCCGCTGGAGGGTGGCTTCTTGTGGGGTCAAAAGAATACCATTAAGAAGGATTTTTTGTTCCTTTTCGAACTCCCGCAGCTGCTGCTGCGTCAAAGCCTTTGCTGCTGCATGCAGCTGCTGCATGTGGGGCCCCACACGGGGCCCCAAAAGTTTGAAGTTGAGAGAGATCGCAAGAGGTGTTTCGAGTGTATCGACAGCTGCTTCCATCTCGCACACGTTCAGTTCTTCCTGAAAAGACGAGAAAAGAGGAATAAACCCCTTTTAATTCATTTAAATCTTCAAATTTATTTAATTCTATTTATTTTATGCTTTAATTCTTTTATTTTGTTCTGGAGTTCAAAGAAACTGCAAATGGGTTTCGGGTGTACCGACAGCTTCGACATATTCACTTCATCCTGGAAGGGCGGAAAAAGGGGAAATAAACGCCGTTTTTAATTGATTTAAAGATTTAAATCAATTTAATTTAAATAGTTAAATGTTTTTAATTCCTTTCTATTTCGTTTTGGAATCTTATTCACCTTTATGTAACTCTCCATCGCCAACAAATCCAACACGTGCTCTTGCGAGCTCACGAGACACCGCAAATGCAACACCGGACGCTTCAAAGACACTTTTCTTCTTTCCCGCAAAGTCCGCCCCATCAAAATAACTGAAAATGAATAAAACAAATAAATAAACAAATAAATAAATAACAAATAATAAATAAATAAATAAAAAAATAAATAAATAAATAAACTAATTAGAATAAATGGGTCAAGGAGCTGAGGAAGAAACGGATCCGCAACTGTGCAGCGCGCGATATTAATTGTATAGGAGGTTCTCTTAGGGTTTAGGGTTTAGGGTTTAGGGCAGCGTACAATATGTACATGCGCGAGTGCTTACACAACCCTAAACCCTAAACCCTTGACAAGCGTGCTTGCTCCTCTGTGCGGCCAAGAAATACCTAGACCCCGACACCGCTAGCCCTTCTAAACCCTAAACCCTCGACCCTAAACCCTAAACCCTAAACCCTAGCTGACCGCTGCGCATGCGTTCCATTCTTTGGTCAATTTCTGCATTTCGGAGGTTTGGGTTTGGCGCTGGCAGCATCAGGAAATGAACACTTTCTGCATGCAAAGGGTTTTGAGGAGATAAACCCTTTTTTAGGGCTTGGTAAAGGTACTCGCTCAAGAACGGGGTCAGCGGGGCCTGCACGCAAACCCTAAACCCTAGACCTTAAACCCTAAACCCTAAACCCTCAGCCACGGGACAATGGTCAGAACCCGGGTGAAGTCAAAGAGCGCAGCAGCAACCTCGTTTGGCGCAAAACGTGTCTAGGGTTTAGGAAAACACAATTAGGGTTTAGGGTTTGCATAACTAGGGTTTAGGGTTTAGAGCGAGAGGGTCCAGAGATCCACGGCTTGCAGAATCAACTTATTCTTATTAAAAGGGTTTTCCCTAAACCCTGAAGTCAGGGTTTAGGGCTACGGGAGCTCACAAACCACAGAATTAGGGCTTAGAGTTTAGGGTTTAGGCACCATATATATCACAGTTGTCAGCAAAACCGAAAAAAGGGTTTGCAGTGCCTCAAGAGCCACTTCAGGCCCTTGGGCTCCTCTCATTCGGTCTCTGTTGAGTCTTAAATACCTAAACGCAAACCCTAAACCCTAAACCCTAAACCCTAAACCCTACTTCGCGTCTGCGGTGTCCTTGCAGTTAAACACCTTCTGTTCCGTCATTAGCAGTAGAGCCAACAGAGTCTAGGGTTTAGGGTTTAGGGTTTACGGTTTACCAGTTCGTGAGGAGCTCTAGGAAGGAAAGCAGTTGGGGAACTATAGTGTACAAACGGTAGGCCTCGATTTCCTCCCGCACAAACTGCAGCAGCAGCAGCAGCAGCAGCAGCAACAGCAACAGCAGCAAGATAGAAAATGCATTACTTATTTCTTCGAGACATGCAAAGAAGAAATTGAAAAATGAGACAGAGACAAACGAAAACAAAACAACGAACAGCAGCTGCAGCAGCAGCTCCAAAAAAACGCAGCAGCAGCAGCAACAGATAAACGCACAGCAGCAGCAGCAGCAGCAGCTAAAAGCTTGGCAGAAGCAGCAGCAGACGCAACAGGAGATATATAGACACAAGAGCAGCAACAACACAAAAAGCAGCAGCAGCAGTACATCAGCAGTTCAAACAACAGCATCAGCAGCAGTAACAACAGCAAATGCAGCAGAATAACAACAGCAGCAGCAGCAGCAGCAGCTGCAGTAGCAGCAGCACAGCAGTTAAAACAACAGCATCAGCAGCAGTAACAACAGCAGCAGCAGCAGAACAACAACAACAGCAGCAGTAGCAGCAGCAGCTGCAGCAGCAGCAGCGGACTTGAATAACCCTGTGGGTCTCGGAAAGAATCCACTTGTCCATAATATTTGTTTTTTGATTTTCTTCATTTTCTCCCGCAGGCTGAAAACGCTTTCCAGTTGTTGTCTCATAACGAATAACTTCTTGAATGAAAAATCTGAATTAAATATCACATTAAATGACTTTTTGAATTTAAAATTTAAATTATTCCGAGTTAAAATCCATTTAATTCAATTTAATTCCAATTGTGCTTTTAAAATTGTCAAAAACGCCAAAAATTGCCAACAAAGTCAACACAAACTGCTGCTGCTGCTGCTGCGGCAGACACGCTGGTGCTGCAGCAGCAGCAGCATCATTATCGGCAGCAGCAGCAGCACCATGGCCAGCAGCAGCAGTGCTACTCTACATCTAACACCAGCAACAGTAGGAGCATCATTAATACCAGCAGCAGCAGCAGCAGCAGCACCATTATCAGCAGCGGCAGACCCCCGCCACCATCATCACCATCATCAACATCAGCAGCAGCAGCAGCACGAGACCCCCACTTCCACCACCCCCCATCACCACCATCACCAGCAGCAGCAGCAGCAGCAGCAGCAGCAGGACAAGACCCCCACCCCTACCATCATCACTACCACCACCACCACCACCACCACCACCACCACAATCAGCAGCAGCAGCAGCAGCACCAGCAGCAGCGGGAGTACCTGGTGGCGTGGTACCAGGGGAGCAGCACGTCTTTGACGACGTCTTTGACTCCTTCTTGTTTGAAGTTTAAAGTTTCTCCTTTTACAACTGGAGACCGCAGCAAATAAAGCCGCAGCGCATCTCCGCCAACTTCTTCCAAAATCAAAGACAAAGAAGGATAGTTCTGCAAACGCTTGCTCATCTTCCGCCCGTCTGCTGCCAGCACCAGCCCTGCAGCAGCAGCAGCAGCAGCAGCGGCGGCGGGGAGAGAGCAGCAGCAGCAGCAGCAGCAGCAGCGCATGCACAGGCGGCGGCAGTGAGAGGGAGTGGGAGAGGCAAGGTCGCTGCGGAAGGGAGGGGTCAGGCAGGCCTGCTGCTGCTGCTTCTGCTGCTGCTGCTGCTGCTGCTGCTGCTGCTGCTGCTTACCATTAGCAATGAGGTTTTGGAAAGCGGGTTTGTCGAAAAGAGAAGTTGACAGAACCATCAAAGTGTAAAACCATCCCCGAGTTTGGTCCAAACCCTCAGCAACAAAGTTCGCAGGGAATGTCTCCTCGAACTGCAGCAGCAGCAGCAGCAGCAGAAGCAGCAGCAGGTGGTGGTGGCGGGGGGGCAGACAGCGGGAGTTCTATTGCAGCAACAACTGCGCAGCAGCAACAGCAGCAACTGCAACAACAGCAGCAGCTGCAGCAGTAGCAGCCTCACGTGCTTTTGGTTTTCGAAAGGGTAGTGCTGCTGCGCGTAGGGCATTGACCCGCTTTCAAACCAACAATCAAACACCTGCAAACAGCAGCAGCAGCAGCAGCAGCGCAGTGAGTACCACCACCACCAACCCAGCAGCAGCTGCAGCAGCGGTATTAACTGCAGCTGCAGCAGCAGCACACACTCATAGCCCCTGGCCCAGCAGCCACAGCCACATCAGCACCCCCAGCAGCAGCAGCAGCAACAGCAGCAGCAGCAGCCACAGCCGTACCAGCAACCTCAGCAGCAGCAGCAGCAATCCCAGCAGTAGCCACAGCCCCAGCTCTCGCAGCAGCCCCAGCAGTAGCGACAGCTCCAGCAACAACAGCAGCAGCAGCCCCAGCAGCAGCCCCAGGAGCAGCTGCAGCCCCGGCAGCAGCAACAGTCCCAGCAGCAACAGCAGCAGCAGCAACCCCAGCACCCCCAGCAGCAGCTCCAGCAGCACCCCGCGCAGCACCCGCAACACCAGCAGCAACCCCAGCCCCAGCAGCAGCAGCCCCAGCCCCAGCAGCAGCAGCAGTAGCAGCAGCGGCAGCAGCAGCAGCAGCACACTTCTTCAACTCTCTTGAGTTTGGGGAATTGGTCTCCGCGGGGGTCTGGGATTTCGATGTCGTCGATTTGGTCTCGGTGAATATCCGGCAGCTTCCGGCCCGCGTACTTCTCGAGTTCAGCAACACTTCCTAAAATAAACAAACAAACAAATAAATAAATAAATAAATAAATAATAAATTAATAAATAATAAATAGTTGGAAATCCAGGAAATCTGGAGATGCTCATCCTTTGTTTTGTTGCATTTTTCATGGGCAGGGTCAATTGCTGCTTTGAACTGGCGCAGCAGCAGCAGCAGCAGCATCAGCAGCAGTACACCAGCAGCCAGGACACCCCAGCAGCCCCAGGAGCAACTGCAGCAGCAGCAGCAGCAGCAGCACAGCCAGCAGCAGCAGCAGCAGCAAGACCATCAGCTCCAGAGCGGCGAAACGAGCAGCAGTAAGAGCAGCACCAGCAACAGCAAGACCGGCAGCAACAGCAGCAAGATCATCAGCTCCAGAGCCGCGAAACCAGCAGCAGCAAGACCGGCAGCAGCAGCAGCAACAGCAGCAGGACCATCAGCTCCACAGCTGCGAAACCAGCAGCAGCAAGACCAGCAACAGCAGCAGCAGAAAGAGCATCAGCTCCAGAGCCGTGAAACCAGCAGCAGCAAGACCAGCAGCAGCAGTAGCCGCAGCAGCAGCAGCAGGAGCTTGCCAATGCAGACGATTTGGGAGTAGTCTTCGTTGGTCCAAATGGGGAGAGGAGTTCCCCAAAATCTGTTTCTGGAAATGCACCAGTCTTTTGCTTCTGCGAGCCAGTTGTGGAACCTCTTTTGCTGCAGTGCAGCAGGAACCCACCTGCTGCTGCTGCTGCGCTGCAGCAGCTGCTGCCGCAGGTCCGCCACGCGCACAAACCACGAAGGCACAGCCCTGTAGATCAGCGGCGTGTCCGAGCGCCAGCAAAACGGATATGCATGCAGCAGCTCGCTGCAGCACAGCAGCAAACCCTCGGACTGCAGCAAACCCTTTATTTTCTTTTCTCCAACTTTGAAGTCCAAACCCTCCACAAACCCTACAGCCGGCACGAAACACCCGCTCTCGTCCAGCCCGCAAGCCACCGGGCCCCCCACTTCTATCACCCTGAACACACAAACCCTAGACCCTAAACCCTAAACCCTAAACCCTAAACCCTAAAACCTAAACCCTAAGACCTCCGCACTTCTGCTCGATGCACACACGGTAGTCATCCTCCCCAAACGCCGGCGCGCAATGGACAACGCCAGTGCCTGCAGCAGCAGCAGCAGCAGCAGCAAAAGCAAAATGGGACAGGCTACGTCGGCAGCCACAGAGCCAAAGCTCTAAACCCTAAACCCTAAACCCTGAACACTCAGTCGCGAGTTGTGGCGTCCTCAGACTAAATGCAGCGAAGCCGAAAAAGCCAGAAACCTACGGCCTACACTTCACCCCTTAGGGTTTAGGGTTTAGGGTTTAGGGTTTACCGGAGTCGGAGGTGACAAAAGAATCCACGCAAACGCGAAAGGCCGAAGGGTAAGAGCTTTTTGGAAAACAGTCAAAAGGGGGGGAATATGGGAGATCTGCAAATTCACATTTAAATAAACTAATTAAATTAATTAATTAAATCAGTTAAATTAATTGATTAGTTAGTTAAATTAATTAATTAAATCAATTAAACTATTTGTTTTATTTGCCGTTGAAACAAGACAGCAGCGGCTTCACAAGCACAGAAGTTGCACGGCCAGTGCAGCAGCAGCAGCCGTCAGTGCAGCAGCAGCAGCAGCAGTAGCAGAACTGGAGGCACCAAGTCTTCACACAGTAGAAAAAATGAACCCCTAGTCCTAAACCCTAAACCCTAAACCCTAAACGCACTGCGCAGCTTCTCTCCCGGGAACTCGGACAAGATTTCCACATCTGTGGCGGGGTCCAGCTTCATCTGAGAACAAACCCTAAACCCTAAACCCTAAACCCTAAACACGAAACCCTAAACCTTAAACCCTAAACCCTAAACCCTAAACATTCAGCGACTTGCCTGTTTGCATATCCACTCAAGGCGTTCTTTTGCAACGACAAGGGTGCTGCAGCCAAAATAAAGGAAACCTTAAACCCTAAACCCTAAACCCTTAACCCTAAACCCTAAACCCTAAACCCTAGATCCCAGACCTTGAACCCCATCCGTTTGTTTGGGGGCCCGCGAAGCCCGCGCCGCAGCCCCAGCGCTGCAGCTGCCACCCCGTAAACCCTAAACCCTAAACCCCAAACCCTAAACCCTAAACCCTAAACCCCAAACCCTAAACCCTAAACCCTAAACCCTAGATTCTTGCCGTTTCTGGGGTTTGAAAAGAGCCTTGATGTAAGTCATTGTGGGGTGGACACAAAGAGCCAAGTTCGAAGGAAGAGTCCAGGGGGTTGTTGTCCAAGCAGCAAATTCAAAAGGTCCTTCCAGCGCTGTGGTGTCTGTACACCTGAGCAGCAGCAGCAGCAGCAGCAGCTGCTGCTGCTGGGGGGCAAGTGCGGTGCAACAAACGCAGCAGCAGCAGCAGCAGCGGCCGCGCCGCTAGCGCAGCAGCAGTTGCAGCAGCCCTGAGGGCTGGCGCGCAGCAGATGCAGCAGCACTTAGTGCCAGGGCAGCAGCAGGAGCTGCTGCAGCAGTTAGTGTCAGTGCAGCAGCAGCAGCTGCTCGTGCAGCGGCAGCAGCAGCAACAGGAGCAACAGCGAGCGTGCCAGCAGCAGTAGCAGGTGACAGCAGCAAGTGTGCTGCAGCAGCAAGGCAAAGAGAGGCTGCTGCCCAAAGGCCCCGAGCCAGGGTTTAGGGTTTGGGCCACATCAAAGCTAAGGACGTGGGTCTTGGGGTTTATAAACTAGGGTTTAGGGTTTAGGCCTCATAAGAGCAAAGGGCTTGCCAGTTAGGGCTTACGGCCTACAATGAAGGGTTTAGGGTTTAGGCGCGATCAGGCCTAAGGGCTTGGGACTTGAGGCCTACGACCTGGAGCTTAGGGTTTAGGGTTTAGGGTGTAGGGTTTAGGGTTTACTTGAAGGCCACTATGAGGGAAGGGTCACGAACGTCTTTGTAGTTTTGATTGGCCTCGAAGTTTGAAAGGGGAGTTCCGCAGGCTGTGGAAAAGGGCATTACCTGAAGGCAATATGAAATTTCATTTTGATTTTGAATAAAACAAAAACACAAAAGGGATATTAAAACGTCAAAAAAAGAATTTAAAAGACAAAAAGAGATTAAAAGGGATTAAAGGAAATAAAGAGGAATAAAAAGAGACAAAAAGGACGCAAATTGAGATTAATAGAGATAAAAAGGACAAGCCCCAAAAAGTCAAAAAATGCCAATGAAACAAAAAGAAACAAATAGAAACAGAAAAAGATAAAATACACAAAAAAGACGAAAATAAATAGAAACAAAAGAGGATAAAAGAAGAAACAAAAAAATTCAAAAAGCGCCAAAAAGGAGGCGGAAAAGAAAGTGTGGGGTGTTTGATTAAGTGTCTTTACACCTGAGGTGTTGCTGGAAAAAGTGTGGGGTGTTTGGTGAGGTGTCTGTACACCTCAATTGGGGCTAAAGGGAAGTGTGGGGTGTTTAATGAGGTGTATTTACACCTGAGTTGTTGCTGCGGTGTCTCTACACCTGAGTTGCTGCAAAAAGGCAGTGTGGGGTGAATGCTGAGGTGTCTGTACACCTGAGTTGGGCTGGTTAGAAGGATCTGTAAATTGGTGGGGTGTCTGTACACCTGAGATATTGCTGAAAGGCAGTGTGGGGTGTTCTGGTGAGGTGTCTGTACACCTAAAAGACTGCTTGTAAAAGTGTGGGGTGTTCTGGTGAGGTGTTTGTACACCTGAAAGACTGCGTTAAAAGTGTGGGGCGTTTGCTGAGGTGTATATACACCTCGGACTCACTTAAAAACTCTGTAGATGAGAGTGTTTAGTGAGGTGTCTGTACACCTGAAAAACTGCTTTAAAAAGTGTGGGGTGTGTAGTGTGTAGTGAGGTGTCTGTACACCTGGAAGACTGCGTTAAAAGTGTGGGGAGTGTGGGGTGTTCGTTGAGGTGTACGTACACCTCGGACTCACTTTAAAAGCTCTGTGGATAGGAGTGTTTAGAGAGATGGATGTACACCTGAAAGACTGCTTCAAAACGTCTGGGGTGTTTGCTGAGGTGTCTGTACACCTGAAAGACTGCTTTAAAAGTGTGGGGTGTTTGTTGAGGTGTATGTACACCTCGGACTCACTTTAAAAGCTCTGTAGATTCTTCCTTTTTTGAAAAGTTCTTTAAAAACCCACCAGACACTTTCCATGTAATCTCTGTCCATAGTTCTGTACCCGTTTTTGAAATCTATCCACCGCCCAGTCCTTTCTGTAAAATAAAAACAAAAAGACAAAAAAAGAAATTTAATCAAATAACAGAAATAAAAAGGATGATAACTGAAAAATAAAGATATTGAAAAAGAAAAAGATGTTCGAAGAGACAAACGGGAACAAAAATGAAGTTAAAGGAGATAAAGTGAAACAAAAAGAAACAAAAACGAAATTAAATAGATTCAAATAATTAAATATAGGCAAAAATTTTTTAATTTATTTATATTTAAATAAAAATAAAATGAGACAAATACAAAATATAAATACATATGAAATAAACAGTGCACTTCTCGCGGATATTCACAAATCGGGCTTTTAGGGTTTAGGGTTTAGGGTTTAGGGTTTAAGTCCTGACGAGAAGGACTTATTTCTGGATTTTCTCTTCTTTTGTCATCATTTCATTTTCGCATGCAAATAAAACTGTCTACTTAAAGATAGATTTATAAAATCTATCAAAAATACTTTTATTTTTGACAGTTAAAAAATGGCAAATTGCAATTAATGTTTTTGGGTGTTCGTACACCTTTACACAGCCAAAAATAAACAAATAAACGCAAGTATTTTCTGCTCATTAACACGATTGCAGCAATGCAGCAGCAGCAGCAGCGCTGCAGCAGCAGCAGCAGCATCAGTGCAGCAGCAGCAGCTTACCGACAATCTTTTCCCACTCAGCTGAATAGCGCAGCACGATTGATCTGCAGGAGCAGCAACGACGATAGCAGCAGCGACAGCATCAGCAGCAGCAGCGGCAGCTTCTGCAGCAGCAGCAGCTGCAGCAGCACCAGCTCCTGCAGCAATGGCACCAGCATCTGAAGCAGCTGCAGGAGCAGCCGCTGCAGCAATGGCAGCAGCAGCATCTCAAGCAGCAGCTCCCGTAGCAATGGCAGCAGCAGCAGCTGCAGCAGCAGCTCCAGCTGTAGCAGCAGCTGCAGAAGAAGCTGCAGCTGCTGCAGCAGCAGGCGCTGGGGTTTCTCCCTGCACGCCGCCACCGTGGAAAGAAACATCCCTAGGGTTTAGGGTTTTTGGAAGACAATTTATTATATAGGGTTTAGGGTTTAGGGTTTAGGGTTCGCGTTGGTGAGTCTACATAGACTAGTTGTAGGCTATAGTGTTTAGAGTTTAGGGTTTAGCGTTAACCGTTGCGTTGAAAGGATCCTGAGTTTACTCGGTCTAGAATTAGGGTTTAGGGTTTAGGGTTTAGGGTTTGCAGACCTGCACTGCTGGTTGTACTGCGGAATCCCGAACTCGAGGACTTGTTGCTTTTTATTTATTTTCAACATTTTGTCGATTTCAACTCAACTAAAGCCCACGAGTGCAGCGCTAGGGTTTAGGGTTTAGGGTTTAGGGTTTGCAGACCTGCACTGCTGGTTGTACTGCGGAATCCCGAACTCGAGGACTTGTTGCTTTTTATTTATTTTCAACATTTTGTCGATTTCAACTCAACTAAAGCCCACGAGTGCAGCGCTAGGGTTTAGGGTTTAGGGTTTAGGGTTTAGGGTTTGCAGACCTGCACTGCTGGTTGTACTGCGGAATCCCGAACTCGAGGACTTGTTGCTTTTTATTTATTTTCAACATTTTGTCGATTTCAACTCAACTAAAGCCCACGAGTGCAGCGCTAGGGTTTAGGGTTTAGGGTTTAGGGTTTAGGGATTGCAGACGTGCACTGCAGGTTGTACTGCGGAATCCCGAACTCGAGGACTTGTTGCTTTTTATTTATTTTCAACATTTTGTCGATTTCAACTCAACTAAAGCCCACGAGTGCAGCGCTAGGGTTTAGGGTTTAGGGTTTAGGGTTTACGGATTGCAGACCTGCACTGCTGGTTGTACTGCGGAATCCCGAACTCGAGGACTTGTTGCTTTTTATTTATTTTCAACATTTTGTCGATTTCAACTCAACTAAAGCCCACGAGTGCAGCGCTAGGGTTTAGGGTTTAGGGTTTAGGGTTTACGGGATTGCAGACCTGCACTGCTGGTTGTACTGCGGAATCCCGATCCCGAACTCGAGGACTTGTTGCTTTTTATTTATTTTCAACATTTTGTCGATTTCAACTCAACTAAAGCCCCCGAGTGCAGCGCTAGGGTTTAGGGTTTAGGGTTTAGGGTTTGCAGACCTGCACTGCTGGTTGTACTGCGGAATCCCGAACTCGAGGACTTGTTGCTTTTTATTTATTTTCAACATTTTGTCGATTTCAACTCAACTAAAGCCCACGAGTGCAGCGCTAGGGTTTAGGGTTTAGGGTTTAGGGTTTGCAGACCTGCACTGCTGGTTGTACTGCGGAATCCCGAACTCGAGGACTTGTTGCTTTTTATTTATTTCCAACATTTTGTCGATTTCAACTCAACTAAAGCCCACGAGTGCAGCGCTAGGGTTTAGGGTTTAGGGTTTAGGGTTTAGGGTTTGCAGACCTGCACTGCTGGTTGTACTGCGGAATCCCGAACTCGAGGACTTGTTGCTTTTTATTTATTTTCAACATTTTGTCGATTTCAAATTCAATTGGAAGTCCGTGGCAGTCCCAGCCAAACCGCCGCTCCACGTAGTGCCCCGTTTGATGGGCAAAGCGGCACACCACGTCCTGCGCAAACCCTAAACCCTAAACCCTAAACCCTAAACCCTAAGCCCTCAGCGCTTAAGACCACCAAACCCTAAACCCTAGAACCCACGCATACATGCACTCTAGAAAGGAGAAGTAAACTCTGAAGATAGCTTTGAGAACTCTTCCTTTGTGCACAGTCCAGATATTCCGCAATCAAACTCTAAACCTAAACCCTAAACCCTAGACCCTAAATCCGAGACTCCAAGCCTTTTAATGCAAATCGTACTCCCAGAGGAGACAAAAATCACATTCCGTGAGAAGCCAAATCTCCGTCCTGAAGTATAATCCTTAACACCTAAACCCTACACCCTAAACCCTAAACCCTAAACCCTAATCCCAAAGCCCCAAGCCCTAAACCCCAAACCCTAAACCCTACCTTGATAGTGCCCGCCAGAATGTGTCTGCAGCGGGGGAGTCCCGTGGCAAAGGGGATACACCCTGATACCCAAAACCCTAAACCCTAGCACCTACCCCCTGAACCCTAAACCCCAAACCCTAAACCCTAAACCCTAAACCCTAAACCCCTAAATCCCACCTTGATGGTGCCCTCCAGAATGTGTCCGTAGTAGGGGAGTCCCGTGGCAGAAGGGTCACCCTAATACCCAAAACCCTAAACCCTAACCCCTGCCCCCTAACACCCCAAACCCTAAACCCCAAACCCTAAACCCCAAACCCTAAACCCTACCTTGATGGTGCCCGCGAGAATGTGTCCGTAGTGGGGGAGTCCTGTGGCGAAGGGGGGTCCATCATAAAAAGAAAACGGGGGTTTATCTTTGGAAAGTTTTAAAGACTTTTCAAAAGTTTTTTCTTCTCGCCAAACCCTGAGGGTTTCTTCCTCCAGCTGGGGAAAGTTCGGACGCTCAGACACTGCGCAGCACCCACGCGAGGGTTTAGGGTTTAGGGTTTGGGGTTGGGTTTGTGGTTTGGGGGTAAGAGACTAGGGTTTTGCTAGGGTTTAGGGTTTAGGGTTTGGCTGTTTAGCGCTGAAAGAGTCTAGGGTTTAGGGATTAGGATTTGGGCAGTACGGGCAGTGGCTCGAAGGCCACTTCTCGAAGCGCCACCTGCTGCTGCTGCTGCTGGTCTGCTACTGCTGCTGCTGCTGCTGCTGCTGCCGCTAGGGTTTAGGGTTTAGGGTTTAGGTTTGGCCCACAAGGCTCAAAAGTCAGCCCTTCAGAACTCCCCCCCTGGCTTGGCGATTCTCCAGCTCCCATTTTGGCTGTTCTAATGCCACGAACTTTCTGTTGCTGCTGCTGCTGCCGCTGCTGCTGCCGTTGCTGCTGCTGTTGCTGCTGCTGTTGCTGCTGCGGATGTTGCTGCTGCTTTTGTTGCTGCGTCTGTTGCTGCTGCTGCCGCAGGTACCGCTGCTGCTGGTGCCGGTATTTCTGCCGCAGTTGCTGATGCACTTGCTGCTGCTGTTGCTGCTGCTGCTGCTTGCTGGCAGCAGCTAGAAAAGTGGGTTTTGTCTGAAATAAATTGAATTGGAAGCAGCAGCAGCAATTCAAATTTCTAATTTGTTTATTGAAGAAAACAAAAGAGGAAAATGAAGACAAAGGGACTCGACCAAGACGCATCAGATGGCCGACACCTGCAGCAGCAGCAGCAGCAAACTAATCGGCCTGCAGCAGCAGCAGCAGCAGCTGCTGCAGCCGCAGCAGCAACAGGATATCCACTCTGCTGCAGCAGCAGCAGCAGCAACTGGACTTTGAAGCAGCAGAAAGCAGTGATGAATGCGGCCAGGAAAATCTTAACAGAGCAAATTTGCTAGGAAGACTCACACATCCCAAACCCTAAACCCTAAAGAGCTAAACCCTAAACCTTAAACAGCTAAACCCCAAAGCCTAAACCCTGAGCCCCAAACCCCACACGAGCTTCCACATGAGTGTCGCGAACAATAAGGGAACATTGAATAGAGTCATATAGACTAAAAGCCCTAAACCCTGAACCCTAAACCCTAAACCCTAAACCCTAAACCCTTGGAAAGCCGTCCTCACAGTATCGAGTGTCGGGGTCTTGAGGCTCGCCGGGGCTCGTTCACCGCGCAAAACCCTAAACCCTAAACCCTAAACCCTAAACCCTCGAATTAAACTGAATTAGGAGTTTTTAAAAGCAAAACAAACCAAAAGAATCCCAAAACAACGCCAAACCCTCAGGGGCTGCAGCAGCACAAGCAGCCGCGGGGCCCCCGGTGGGGCCCCCGAGGGTTTATTTCTGCAGCTAAGGAGCAAATAAAAGAATAAATAAATAAGTAAAAATTTTAATTTTATTTTAAATTTATTTATTGTTTTTTTAAATTCTTTTTGGAGCATTTTAAACTCCTTTTGGGATCTTTTGATCCCCAAAAGAAGAAACTCCAGCCGCTGCATGCACTCAGATATTTCATTTATATTTAATTTTTATTTTATTCACTTTATTTATTTATTTATTTATTTATTCTTTTTTTATTTTTTATTTTTCTGTTCGCTTGCTACTTATTCATTTGCTTAGATTTAAATCTAAAAAAACATTTTTTGCCATTAAGTAAATAAATAAGCTATTTATTTACTTATTTGTTTATTAAAATGAGTAATAAGTTAATTAATTTATTTATTAATTGACCATTCATTTATTTAAGTCATCAACTGATTCACCGTTTAGTTAATTAAATAATCTGCGAATTAATTATTTAATTAATTAATCAAAATTAAAATTAATTATTCAATTAATTAAATATTATGGGAGGATACTAATTAAGAGTTAACTACTCAACTGAGTTGTGTGAAATTAAATCAAATAGTTTATTTACCAAAGCATTAATTTTGACCAATTAATTTGAAAATTAATAACCTTACAAATTCATTTATTTATTTATTTATTTATTTATTTATTTATTTATCCTTTCAAGTTTATTTAATCAGCTGGGCAGGGCAAACAGGTGCTAGGGTTTAGGGTTTAGGGTTTATGGTTTAGGGTTTAGGGTTTAGGATATGGCGCCTGGAGATTCGGGTTGTTCGTACAGGGTCTACGGCGTAAGGCATAGGGATTTGTGTTTAGGGCCTACGGTCTAGGGTTTAGGGTTTAGGGTTTAGAATTTAGGGTCAACGGTTTAAGGAAAAGGGTTTAGGGTTTAGGGTTTAGGGTTTAGGGTTCAACAACTGGGGTTCAACAACTGGAAAGAACGTGCGCCTGCATTGGGCATGCCACAAGTGAATGTGTGTACTAAAAGTCTAGGGTTTAGGGTTTAGGGTTTCGGGTTTAGGGTTTAGCGCACTTTGTGTATATATAAATATAAATAACGCATTTCGAAGTAAGTACGAACAAAATTACCAGAGAGAGAAGCATTTCCATAATTATTTTAAGTGCATTTAATTTATATAAAATGCCACTTGTATTCTTTCTGCGTTTTTAATGAAGATTTTATTTGAAAATAAATTCCTTTTTATTTTCTTTTTTTTTCTTTGTGTTTTAAAGAGCTGCAAATAAATTTTAACATTTTTGGGCTTTAGTTTATGTACACCCCAGATGTTTGTGCATGCGCTTTCAGGTGTATGTAGACCTGAAGGCCCTGTTTGTGGATGCAAATGCGAATGTGGACAGATCAATTCAAGTTCTTTTTCATAAACAAACCCTGTAAATAAATAAATAAATAAATAAATAAATAAATAGATACGTTTATCTAGAGAAGGGCCTCGCCTGTGCGCTCACTTTTTGGAGTAAAAGAGGCAACAAAAAAAATGCAAAAAAGGTGAAAATTTGTTTTCGGAGTTTTGGATGTTTTTTTGTTTTTATATTTTCTAAGAAATGAACTTTTATGCATAAAAAATTATAATAAATATAATATTTCTAGACACACAGACATATAGATACATATGTATATTTAATAATTTTAGTTTAAAATGTCTGCGACAAGAGTTGCTTCAGTGTGCAGGTGTACGTACACCTCTAATACAAGCATAAAAAGATAATTAACGAATCCACAAAATGTGAAATAAATAAAATAAAAGAACAAATATGAAGCTAAATTCATTCTTTTTTGTTTATTTAGAGTCCAGAATATTGGGAGTTTTGCATTTATTTGAAGGAAATACGGAAAATTCCTGCATGCGTTTCAGGTGTACGTACACCTCGCGTTAACTACGAAGCCCCGTGTCTCTTTTGACAGCTCTTGAAACAGCTTTTTCTGAATTAAAATTTATTTATTTACTTTTCCCTAAACTTAATTGCATTTAAAGGAATCCCGTTGTTGCCAAAGTTATTTTGGATGAAGTATAATTAATTTAATATTTTGCATGCATGCAAGGTATTAAATTACTTATTTTGCATGCATGCAAGTAAATCGAATTTTGTTTTTTCCCGAGAACTTTTTAAACACTACTCGTGTGGATATACAGCCCAAGTATTATTTTCCCCTCATCAAGAAAGAAATTTAAATGCAGAATAAAAATACTTATTTATGCTCTTATTGATATTTACCTGTCGTAAACCCTAAACCCTAAACCCTAAACCCTAGAAGTGAGGAAGTCAAGAGAAGCGCGTTCTTCCACAAACATTGCGTAGTTGCCGTGCAGAGCTAATACCCTTATTGGCGGCTTCAAACCCTAAACCCTAAACCCTAAACCCTAACTTCTAATCCTAAACCCTAAAACCTAATCCGTAAACCCTAAGCCGTAAACCCTAAACGCTAAACCCTGGGGAAGGCTGGCTCGAGCCCTCAGTGACGAGGAGGGGAGCTGCAGCAAACGAAAAGAGATATTGGAATTAAAAATAAAAATAAAAATAAAAATAAAAATAAAATTAATTGAAAAATAAACAAGGAATAGAAGTAAATAAATAAATGCGGCGGCGCTACAGCAAAGAGTGGAAGAGACTGGACAAGACAAGGAAGACAAAACGGGGGTTTAGGGTTTAGGGTTTAGGGTTTGGAAATTAGGGTTTGGGACTCTTTTTTTAAGGTCCAATGCTTAAATCTTAGAGTCTAAGGTTTAGGGTTTAGGGTTTAGAGTTTAGGGTTTAGAGTTCCAGTGCATCTATTCTTGCCTTTGCCGCTCCTTTCTGTCTCTCGCTGATCTTTACTTTTATTGTTTTGGTATTCCTTTTGTTTTGTGTGAACATAAACTCCTAAACCCTAAACTCTAAACCCTAAACCCTAAACCCTAAACCCTAAAAGAGATGAAGCAGCAAAACGAAAAAGTTTTTCTGCTGCTGGCAGCAGCGCCGAGACTCTGGGGTGTCTCGGCAGCTGCTGCTTAGTCGCAAATTTCTTTTTTTTTATTTTCCTTTCAAATTAATTCAAAAGCTTTTAAATGTTGTTTTAAAGCTATTCCGAGACACAAGACGAGGGTTTAGGGTTTAGGGCTTAGGGTTTGGGGTTTCGGCTGCGGTGACCTGAACTCCAAAGCCTCCCTGGGCAGCAGCTGCTGCAGTTTCTCTGCAGCCCCAGGTGTCAATACACCCTAAGACGGCAGCAGCAGCAGCAGCAACAGCTGCAGCAGCAGCAATAGCAGCAGCAGCAGCAGCAGCAACACACCATGGGGTGAGCTGCAGCAGCAGCTGCTGCTGCTTGAGGTGACGGCCGCCCCTGCAGCCAAGTAAGTACAGTGGAGGATCTGCTGTGGCCTTCGGCATGGAGCAGCAACAGCAACATCAGCAGCAGCTGCAGCAGCTGCAGCAGCTGCAGCAGCAGCGGCAGCAGCAACCACAGCAGCAGCAGCAACCACAGCAGCAACAGCAGCAGCAGGCATATACAGAGCAGCATCAAGGCGAGTTCGAGCTGAAGAGTCTTCAGGAAAACAAGCAGCGCCAGTCCCCCATGCAGCAGGAGAAGCAAGAGCAGCAGCAGCAGCAGCAGCAGGAAGAAGATAAGCAGCAGCAGCAGCAGCAGCATCAGCAGCAGCGGCAGCATATTCCGTCAGCGCGGCTCTCTGTACGCTCAGCTGCAGCGGCGGATGCATCAGTTGCTGCTGAGCAAAGCCCTGGGTTCCCTGAAAGCAGCAGCAGCAGCGACCGCAGCAGCAGCAGCAGGAGCAGCAGCAGCAGCGGGAGAGCTGCAAGTAAAGGAGCACACCAGAGCCAGGAGGCCCGCAGCAGCAGCAGCAGCAGCAGCGGCTACAGCAGCTTTCGGGAAGGCAGCAGCAGCAGCTCAGAAGATGAGTCCGTCAGGGCGTGCGGCGGCGCAGCCGCCGCGGCGCCAGCAGCAGCAGCAGCAGCAGCAGCAGCAGCGGGGGGGCGCCGCGGACGGCGGGCGTGGGGCCTCCAGGGCGGGGGCCCCTCCCCGCTGGCTGCTGCTGCTGCTCGGACCCGCCGGGTGTTTTGCTGCTGCTTGTCTTTGGGGCAAATAGAATTCAGCAAATGTTTTTTATTTCTTTTAAATAAAACAAACCCCAAAAACTCTCTTTTGCTGCTGTCCAACATTATTCTGTGGGGCCCCCCGCCCCCCTGGCTCTGCGCAGCAGCAGCAGCACCCAGCACTGCCCACCTCATTTGGGGCTGCATCCAGGACCTCAGGTCTCTCCTCGCCAGCAGCAGCAGCAGCAGCAGCAGCAG